ACTCTAGTTTAAGGATATCCAGTGTCTACTTTTGGATTCCCAGGAACCTGCCTGCATACACTTACTTGACAGACAAAAAAGACATAAAGACACACACACACATACACAAATAAATAGTTTTATATATTTTTACAAAACTCTTTTTCTTTCCCCAGCAAGTCTTACAATATCTGTTTTTAATGAACTTACAGTTGAAAATGAAGGTTTCAACTTAATAAAATAAAAATGTATCAATTCTGCCACACACAAGTTTTTTTGTTTTTTTCAAGACAGGGTTTCACTGTATAGCCCTGGCTGTCCTGGAACTCACTCTGTAGACCAGGCTGGCCTCGAACTCAGAAATCCGCCTGCCTCTGCCTCCCAAGTGCTGGGATTAAAGGCGTGCGCCACCACAGCCCGGCCACACACAAATTTTTAAACTGCTTTAATCTGAAAGTATTCCAATATTTATTTTACTTGCTTTAGTATAATTTAACCCATGGCAGTCACTTATAATCAGCAATGAAAAATTGATAAACATATAACTTACTTATTTTGTTGTTTTGAGACAAGATCCCTGTTAGCCCTGGCTGTCCTGGAACTCTTGTAGACCAGGCAGGCCTATAATTCAGAAATCTGCCTATCTCTGCCTCCAGAGTACTGACATTAAAGGCCTGTGCTACCACCACCCAGCTATTGTAACTTACATTTAAAATAAAATTGAAACAAATTCTTATTATCAAAATGTACAGAATCCTTAATCTGTCGTTTTGTTTTGTTTGAGACAGGATTTCATTATATAGACCAGATAGGACTGGAACTCACTATGAAAGCCAGGCTGACCTGGATCTCATGCACGCGCGCGCGCGCGCACACACACACACACACACACACTGCCTCAGCCTCAAGAAAGCAGTATGACAAGAATCCTATGATGCCTCTTTCTTGATCTTACAGGATATACATCCAAAGTATTCTACTGAAGAAATAACTTAAACCTTCCAGTGTTCTGTATGAGTTTTTAAAACTTTCGGATAACCACTAAGGGCCAACGTCCTATGTAACACACAATGATATACAGTGAACAAAATTAAAGAGTAAAATGGTATCACAAAGAAGAAAAAGAATGAAAGTAACAAAATTCAAAGAGGATACCTGAAAACAGCATCCCAATTCAGGTATTTTCCTTGTTTGGAATCAGAATGCCTATCTAAATGTTGAACTGTTTCAGGATCCTGAATCAGGCGCTTAAATTTATCCACTTCTTTCTAAAAATGAAAAATATAATAATAGTAATAATAACATACTATGTTACCTATCACACATTTGTTTCAAGAAAAACTACTTCAAATAATGAATTACCCTTCGTTCTGTAGCTCGGTCATGTTCTAACTGCCGGCAGCAAATGAGCAGATCATTAAGTGCTAGACTCATGGTTAAGATTTCAGAACACGCATCCTCACCTGTAAAAAGAAAGAAATAAACACAATTTCATTTAATTTTTGGTGCTGAGGACTGTCTTGGTGCCTTAAGCATACTAAACATGTAATATGCCAGTAAGCTGTACTTTAGACCTGTATGTAATTATATAGACATTAGCTATACATTGAAACCTAACTGTACATAGACCTGTATGTAATTATTTTAGATATTAGTTGTACATTTGAACCTAACTGTACATCCAGAGCCACACTGTGATCAAAGACACAATAATTTTTCTTAATATTTATATAGAACATTTTCTTAGAATATACCAAAATTAGGCTCTAATTCTTAAATGTGTCCTTTGCCCAGCATGATAATGTATTCTTTTGAAGAAAATGAAACAGTTCAGTATTATCTCTATAAAAGGAAAACATTCATTGACAACAGCAAACAATATTTGTCTCACATGTACAGTGTTTCAGGTTAGGCATCTTACAGACAGCTAAAAAATAATTGAATTATATATACTGATCCACAGCCTACCCTCTTGGAGACATCTGGTGATAATGACAATACAAGTATTAATACATAGTTCCAAGTTGTAACATGTGCCTCAAAGGAAATAAAAACAGTAGAAAACAAGAGAACAGAGTGTGTCACAGCATATGTGTGCAATCCCGCCAGCAGTGGGAAGGTAAAGGAGGATCAGCAGTTTAAGGTCACCTCAGTGAGATCAATGCCAGACTGAGCTATAGAAGCTAATGTTTCAAAAATAAAAAAAAATACAACAGTATGTCATTTAGATAAAGTGTCATGAATAAGTATCAAAGGAGAATTAAATAAACACAAGATCTGAATGAATTGGTGCCAATTACTGGAAGAACTAAAAAATGAACATTTTAGGGAAGGAGATTGGAAAAGCCAAAAGGCTTAGGGAACTGAAAGACAGCCAGAACTGTGCGAGCTTACACAGCACACATACTAAAATTGGAACAACTGTGCAGCGATGACGCATACACTCATGAAATGTTCCAGGTTACAAACCAAACCAAAAAACAGGCAGTGGTGGTGTGCACCTTTAATCCCACTACTCAGGAGGCTGAGGCAAAGAGGCAGAGAGGGAGAGGGAGAGGGGGAGGGGGAGGGGGAGGAGAGGGAGAGGGAGGAGAGGGAGAGGGAGGA